TACATCCGTATGAAGCCAGAGCCGGACTCCCTGCTGGTCAGCCAAGCTGCCGACTTCTTCAAGGTGAGCTGCTGAACTCAGCTGGTAGAACCAGGCTACTCTTGATTCTCTTTTAATGTGTAATTGGGAGCTAAGCTGCCACCATGTATATGGTAATGGGACCAATGGAGTGGAGATCACTGACTGCATTTTGACATTTGCTGTGGCATTACCATTTGTATCCACTAGGTGGCTAATGAAATTGTTGAGCATAGAGATAGAATGCAAAGGCAGCATCGAGCCACTTTTTTTATTTTTTTTGTTCATCCATGACATTTATTCTCATGTTCCATAGATTTCACAGAAGCATGTTATGAAGCTGAAGCTACAACCTCTGTGATAATTCTCAAGAATATATGTTACACAAGCATGAATTTCAGCATGTTACAGCAGGTGTTTTCAACCTCTTGCTAAAGAGACATTTTCAACTTCTTCAACCGCATTTACTTCTTTTTTTTTTTCTCTCTCTTTCTAGGCAAAGCTGTCCAGCTCTCCTGTGCTCTCCACTATCTCCTTTCCTCAGTGCCTTGCTGCTCCTATTCAAAGGCTACAGCATTACTGCGAGATCCTTGAGGAACTGGGAGGGGTAAACCCTGGACCCGACTCTGCCCTCTCCATTATCAGACATGCGCAGCGCCATGGAGAGGACCTGAGGATAAGCGACCTCATCACTGGCTGTCCGGTGAGACTTAAAGTGCACATTATGAACGGGTGATTACAGGGTTTGTGCTGTAAAGTGGATGTGATTAGAGTGGTAATGTCATGGTGTTAAAACTGTGAAACAAATATTGCATTTCAGCAATTTAGAAAATGTTATATTTAGACAGACTTGCACATATAAGGGTGTCCATTAAGGCCAGTATCCCTGAGCAATTGCAGTGGTCCAGAAGCAAAATGAACAATCCCAAATACTATGTCCAATCCTTTTTTTATTACAAGTTACCTAAGGAGTAAAACACAATAGGGTCTTCTCGAACCCCAGAGTTTAATTATTTTCCAAAAACAGCACATCTGGCAGTGTTTATTCTTTTTATACCTCAGCAATTTGCCAAAGATTACAACCTTTATTTATTAAAGGAGGACATGTTGTACAAATTCATCCTTTTACAGTTATATTAAATGTTGTGGAACATCAGCAAAACAAGCTAGTTACTGTTTTACACCAGCTATAAACACGTGTTCCTTCACCAGCCGCTCTTTTTCTCTCTCTCGGTGCTAATAAAACAGACAAACAATAAGGAACCCAGCTTGCTGTCTGCCTAAAAGACCTTCCCATGTTAGAAAACACAAAGTTACAGCTTTATCTCTGACTGTTACAAAGCACGGACACTGGAGACTCCTTCCAAAAACTGCAGCAGCGCTGTGCTATAAAGACGAGTCACGCCATGACTATACCAGGAGCTTCAAAGAATTTAAACGAATAAAGGGTGGTAGTATGTATGCAGCTCTTACTGTAACTCCTCCAATAGGCTTCCATGGAGTAGTTACAGTAAGAGAGTTTATCCTTGACGATATATAAATGTTATCAGTAACACTCTCTAACGTGTAGCCATTGTTACTGATAACATTTTTATATATCCGAAGTGTAATTCCAAGAACAGTAGGATGTTGCAAATTTTAGGCTCTCATTCACGTACTAGAAATGTGTGAATGTGTGTGTATGTTTGTCTCAGGTACCTGTGGCAGAACGTGGGGATCTGGTACGTCAGGGCGAGCTATACGTCTGTCCAGGCGGACGGAGAAAGAAGACGGGCATCAGGACTGTGTTCCTCTACCAGCATTACGTTATTCTCACCAAGCACAAAACTTCCAGCCAAGGCTGCAGTGTATACACCTTTAAAAACAGCATAAAGGTGCACAAACACACACACACACACACACACACACATACAAACACAGAGTGGCATCATTTAAGTGGTCTGAAAGCTAAAAGTGCAATGTGAAAAAGTATAATATTGTTTTGGGAACGAATCAAAAGAAGCAATGAGGAAAATCTTAGCAGGCAGGAGAGAAAAAAAACTGAATTTTACCACAAACACCCTAGTGCGTGTCAGTGGACGACAGAAAAAAAAAAGAAAGAAAAAAAACCAGCATGGTAAAAGTCTGTTGTGACCGCTACTTAATCATTTTGGCCTGTGCTCTTGTCTCGACTCAGATTGCTTGAAAGTTGCCCTGATGCAAGACCCTTGCTTTCTGTCAGTGTAAACAGAGAATCATTTGAGTTTTTGACTGTGAAATAAAATCTGTCAGTGCACTTTTGACTTAGAAAAGTTAACATCAGTTGGCCTAAAACAAAGTGTCAAATCCAGTGCTTTCCAAATAATATTAATGGTGATTTTTGAAAAAGAAAAACACTGTTTGTTTGTTTTTTCTCTCCTGTGCCAATCAGCACAGACATGTTCAGACAGTCTGAGCAGCAGCACATTAACAGTGAACATTTTCATCCAGGTGGAAGCATTTCATGGCTTCTTCAGCAGCCACTAGACTAAATTAATTTGTAAATGTACTGCGTCATTATTTATTTATTTATTTTGTACTGTTTTCTGCATTTTCGCTGTCATAAAGTATCAAAAATCACGAAGGCTGTGGCTACTGTAGATGTTGCTGCTGCTATAATAGGAAAAAAGACCTCAATGGAAGGCAAAATACACTACACCTTATACACCTGCGCGAGCTTTTCAGCACACACACACTTATCATGTGTCTCTGCTTCAGACAGGAGAGATGGGTTTGACCCAAAGTGTTGGAGAAGAGGGTCTGAGGTTTGAGGTTTGGGTGAGACAGGCATCTCGCACCAAATACTGTCTCACTCTTCAGGCCTCATCGTCAGAGGACAGAGAAGCCTGGACACATGACATTGCTCAGCTCCTGTGGACGCATGCCATCCACAACACAGGTGAGGCTGAAGGCTCAGACCTTTCGTAACCTTTTGTAAGTTTCTTTAAATGAGTCATAACTTCCCGAAAGTAGTACATTAATATTCAACCTTGGCCATTCATTTAAAAAAAAAAAAAAAAGCATGAATTTGAAGTTAGTGTTCGTGTGCACTTCATGAACTCAAAAAGGCCCATGAATAGAAAAGGTTTTTAAATGCGTTATTGAATAAGCATTTCAGTTTTAATGAAAAGATTTTTTACTGGTTGTTACGATACTGTTTGTGTTACTTGAGGAGAAATATTTGCATTTGAGCTTTAATCGATGAATCAGTAATAAAATCAGTTATATTTATTTGTTAACCACAAAGTTTTATTTAATTAATTGAGCACACATCCCTTAATTAAGAAGTACTTAAATCATTATGGGATGTCATTAATGACCCAGTTATATGTGTAATTAAGAGATCAATATAAGGCAGTTTAATTATATTAACTCTCTATGTAGCCTCTTATGAGGAGACTGCAACTTGTCCACCATGTTGAGAAATTGGTGAAACAAGGAAGCGTCCACCCTGAAACATGTCAAATATGTTTATATTGAAGTATTTGTGATGCGCTTAGCTATTCTGGTTGTAATTTGTTTGTTGAGGTGTATTTTGGCTGTTCTTGAGAGAATGTACAATGATTGACATAAGGGATAACTAGCAGGTTTCACTGGCAGGTTTCACGACTCGGCTCGTTAGCCAACTGTGAGATGATGGGTGCAATGTTGCTGATGGCAGTATTAGCATAGAAGTTGCAAATATGGAACCTGATCTGTTTGAGCAGCGTGTACAGATGAGGAGGTGAGAAAGGTGGACTGACTAAAGGGCTATAAAAACTGTCTAAAGATTGCATTAGCCACCAAATGCAGGCTCAGGTGCAGAAACCTGACATAGTTGAAACCTTATTTAATTTTGTGAATGGGGGACAACATTATTTGCATATACTGGCAGAAGAAGCAAAGTTGGTTCATACAGCTACGAAAGCGCAATTATCCACAAAGGATGAAACGTGGGTGTATCATAATTCAGGTCAATTCCATTTTAATTTTGTATAGCGCTTTTAACAATTGACAATATAACAAAGCAGCTTTACAGAGATCCAGATGTCGAGTTAGATCCCTGTTGAGGAAGCCAGAGATGAGGGGGTGCCAAGTTCCATGTTCCTGAGATGTCACTGAATAAAGAAACCTTGAGAGTGGCGCAATAGAAAGCGCAACAGATTCCACAGTCATCCATGGCCGGGAGTCCGACAGAACAAAACTGGCCATGCTTTCTGGAATGGGAGGGATGGAATTATTTCCTGTCCTTTCAAGCAGAGAGACACTAACCAGTCTTGGGCATCTGTGAGCTCATGTATGCAGAAGAGGGCAGATAGCACTCTCCTCTGAGTGCGTTACGCTGCCCTGTGACAAAGCGCGAGGGGCAGTTTGAAAAGATGCCGATGTTCATTATAAACACAGGACAGTCTTTCTGATTACAGCAGCATTTCTAGGTACAAGACTATAGTCTCCAGGTGAGATTGTCTACAAGGGTGAAACGTGGGCATGAACTGTTTTTGGGAAGTGCACATCTTTAGGGTATCCATGTGGAATATGGCTCAAGTGCCTCACGTGCGGGAAGCGTCAAGGAGAAGTACAGCATCAGAATGAATCAGGCAGGTCCGGATCAAAGTGTAAATAAATATTTTGTCTTTGTGTTTTCAAAGAATTGTGTCTAAAGGAATCTCTGTGCATGGGAGTGTCCAGCAAGTTGCTGCTGGATGTGACGGGAGCTCAGACATCAGAGCTAGACTCAAGTTTCAGCCTTAATGACAGGGGTATAATATACACCCACAAAAATGCACATTCTCACACACGCACACCATTACTTTTGCACTAAATAAATAAGTGAATAAATAAACTTACTCTTGCATGTTTATCATCTCGGAATATGCAATATTAGAGATGGATAGAATCCTATATCTATATCAGCAGAACATACTGGATCAGATATCGGAGGATCCTGTCTGATGTTTGCTAACATACTATTATAATATGCTGGGTCCCTGGAGGCCTACTGGTTAGGCCTGGGTGCTCCCACTGCCGTAGCCTGGGTTCAATTGCTGGCCAGGGAACCACCCCCAGCCACTGGGATTGCACAAGACTGTGCACTCTCAGTGTCGGTCCCAAGCCCGGATAAAAATTGGGGAGGGATGCATCAGGAAGGGCATCCGGTGTAAAAATTGTGCCAAATCAAACATGCAGATCAATGATCCGCAATGGCGACCCCTAAAGGGAACAGCCAAAGGAGAAAAAAAAACTATAAAATATGCTATATATTTTATCAGGTTTACAATGTTTCATTATTTTCAACTTTAAGTAATAGAAACAGTTTTGTTTATAGAGTTTTTATTATACTGGCATAAATACTTCTTTATAAATGCTTCTTTATGGCATAAAGAAGTAGTGAATGATGGATGAATGATGCCTGTGCATTTCGTCCTGTAGCGAAGTTAAAGATTTGAAATTAGACGATTAAAAAGAGCTTATTTTAAAGCTTTTTAGTGAAAAGAAAAACATTGGCTTGGTTATCACGATCAGGAAATACTCAGGGTTTCAGAATCTTTACTGTATCGGAAAAGAGAAAGCAGTGTCATGCCATCTCTGGTATACATACACAAACACTACTAGCGCTATATTGCAATACTTCATTCCTAGTATTGAAATTGCTGTCTGATATGCCTTATGTCCACAGGGTGTCTCCAGTGAATTGTTTAATGCTTATGTAGCGATTTTCTATATACACAGCATGAGACCTCTACCAGAATGAAAGCAGCTTTCTTTACTCTGCCTCTCTCTCTCTCTCTCCCAGTTCAGAGTAGCTGTTCAGACTCGTCCTCAGTGGGAAGTCAGAAAGAAGGAGGTTCTCCCTCCATTGCAAGAGAACCAAAGACAGACTCCACACAAACTGGCCACACACAAGTGAGAACTACAACACAAACACATGCAATGCTTTTATATTTACCTTTAGAACATTGCTAAAAGATACGTTCACTGGCCACTTCATTAGTGACACCATAATAATACTGGGTGGGACCCCAGTTTGCTCTGAAAAACAGCTTTAGCCTCAGCTTTGTGGCATGAATTCCACATTGTGTTGGAAACATTCTTTTGAGATTTTGGACCGTTGCTGACATGATTGTGCAACATAAATACTGCAGATTTGTCAGATGCACATTCATGCTGCAAATCTGCCGATCTACCATCCAAAAGGTGCTCTACTGCATTCAAATCTGGTGACTGGGGAAACCACTGAGGTTCACTCGACTCATTGTCATGTTCGTGGAACCAGTTTGAGACCACTTGTGCTTTGTGACATGGTGCAGTATCATGCTGTAAGTAGCCATTATAGGATGAGAAAATGATAGCACATGGTCAGCAACGATACTCAGAGAGGCTGTGGCATTCAAACAATGTTCGACTGGTATTAAGGGGCACTATGTGTGCCAAGAAAAAAATCCCCACACCATTACACTACCTCCACCAGCCAGAACTGTTGACACAAGGCAGGTTGCGTTCACATATTCATGCTTTTGATGCCAAATTCTGACCCTACCATCTGGATATCACAGCAGAAATGTTGACTAGGTAACATTTTTTTCCAACCTACAATAGCCTCAGATTCTGGTTCTTGGCTGACAGAAGTGGAATCTGATGTGGTCTTCTACTGTTCTAGCCCATCCACCTCAGGGTTTGACATGTTCTTCTTTCTGAAATGCTTTTCTGCTCACCACGGCTGTACGAAGTGGTTATCTGAGTTACAATTGTCTAAACCCTAGAGACCGTTGTGCATAAAAATACGACATCGGCAGTCTGGCACCAACAACCGTACTATTTTCAAAGTCGCTGAGATCACAAGTTTCCCCATTGTGATGTTTGGTGTGAACATTAACTGAAGCTCTTGACCTGTATCTGCATGATTTTATGCACTGCGCTCCTGCCACGTAATTTGCTGATTTGGATAATTGCAAGCATGAGCAGGTGTACATACAGGTGTTCCTAATAAAGTAGCCAGTGTGTATGTAGCAACAGGCGTAATATGTAGATCTTTCTGGTCTCTATAGGCTGTTACGTTGGATATTTTACAGCCGTATGGCATCTCTGATGCTGCAGACACATGCACGATCAAGAAATAACCCATTTAATTATTTAATTATTTTTGTTTTAGAGCTCATCACCATCGACCTCCGTTTGAATATCATCCGAACCACAAATGTTAGTCCTTTCCCTCACAAACGTTTTTTTTTTTTTAAATCTAAAACTTTTTATAAGATATATATATATATATATATATATATATATATATATATATATATATATATATATATAAGATATACAAGATATCTATCTGACATAATTAAGCCTTTTTTTTCCTCTTCCTTCTAAACAGAGTCTTAACTTTTCAGTGGAAGTTTGCTGGATTAAAAATTCAACTGGACAAATGTGTAACTAACAGACTGGAAGATGACTCAGCAACATTATGGCATGATACGGTATACTGAAGTTTTGTAAGCCATGCTACGTTTCACAGGGCCATCCTAGCTCTGTCTCTCGCAGTTGCTCTGTATGCAACTAATCGCCAGGTACTGGAGCGTGCAGCAGGGTAATGTGTTTCAGGCTTTCATGCACTGCTGCCTCCAACTGATTTGCTGCTTGCCAAGAACGACTTCAATATTATACCATAAGTTACTGGGTATTTTTGCCTCTCTTGCTCGCTCAATATTTGCTTTATGTCTTCCATTTTAACCAAAGAATGTTATAAATTATAACCCTTATGTATAGGCCTAATGTTACCCTGTTATGTGTAAATTTGATGTTACATGCTGATTGCGTATTATTAGTATTTTTTTCAGAGACAACGGCAATATTGGTACAAGCTCAGAGATAATACAAATCCCAGTTCACAGCCTGGAAATTCTACAAACAATTTACAGATAGCATTTTACAATCACGTTTGCTGTAGCCGTGTGCCATAGCAACAAAGGAAAGTGTTTCACACCAAATACTGTTGAGCAAAGCCCTGTTTGCTCCGTAGAAAAAAAAAAAAAATCATTGTCATTGTCATTGCAGCCACTGAATAACCGGCATTTTCACTGAATAATATCCACGTTCTTCCTCGAATGTGTATCGTATTATGTATGCAAGTCTTATTTCAAGGGAACAATAATTGAGCCATGTTTGAATGGCACATAAGGTTATGGTGTCAATTCCTATACAACTTTTCCTTCCAATTCCTAATCAAACCACAATTAAAAACAAGTTAACTGTGCATAACGACAGTGATCTAGAGTGAGGTCTGTGGAGCATATACCAGGGGTCAATTATTTATTTTTATTTTTTTTTTATTTTGATACAACCCAGTCTTATCATTATTGCGTTCCTATTGTTATTAGCCTCTTTGACTGGTTGCTTGAATTGAATGAGTTAAATCCAAACCTCATTAACTCATTAACAAAAGGTCGGCCTATAAATAATGTCAAATCGGACAGAATGTGTTCTGTCCGTAGAAATTTCAGGAATAAATCTCTATGGCTCTAATAAATAGGCAGAATATCACGGTACACATTTGAATAATTAACCTAATACTGGTATAGTTGGATTATATTCAGAGGGCGTCTGTAGAATTTATTTAACATTTCAAGGTGTCCCTGACTGCAGAAGGTTTGAGAACCCCTGATTTAGGGTACTTTAGTGCAAGTGACATGACTATGGATGGATGTGACAAATTGGAGTTACGTCTACTGACTTTCTATATAATTCTGATCAAAACAAGTTTTTTTTTTCATTTTACGTAATCTTTCAGAGATGCTAAAAAAAAAGGCTCTTGAATCCTATGGTGCTTTTTTTTTTTTTTTAACCTGAACCCAAACCCTAAATCAAATTTTGCCCAATAGGTGGTGTTAATGAGCAACTGCAGCATGGAAACAATGTGTCTCTTATTTTTTTTTTTAAGGCCAAAAGGCTATTTGTAGGACAATGAATAACTGCTCATTTGTGGTGATGCTATGCACATTTTGGATCAATAGCACTTTCACTCTTTTCGTAAACAGGCAAAAACCGTGCAGGAACCATTCACATATATTGCACCGAACAACATGATATAAATGTTGACAAAATTGCCACGTTGGCCTTTTTTTCTTCCCCCCCAGTACTTCAAATAAAGGAGTGTGTTGGAGTTGAATAAACTCTCGAGAGCTGAACAGATTTCTCCAAACTGTTACTGTTACTAGTTCCATATTTAGCGCCATATGAATTTACATACCCACCACCTCTCGCTCAGTTTCTCCCACTGTGTGAAAAGAGTCGATTTTTCCTTTGTCTGTTTATGAGTTGCATTATGATCCAGCTGGCTTTGATTGTCATGGCAGCTCCACCAGCCAAATCCAAAGATTGCTTGCATAAGAGGAAATGCTACGAGTTTCTGCTTTAATCTTTGAGTTATGTAATTGGTGCACCCCACCCTCCTATATTCTATTATATTCTACTCGAACTTACACAGTCTTAATCTTGTATAGTCACTGGATTCCAGGACTCTCTATGAAGAGTTTGAATCTCGCTTTGTTAGAGCTGACATTAACCAAGCACTCATAATCCATTTTGGAACAGTCGAGCTCCAAAAAAAAAAAAAAAAACCCTTGATCTAGAGAATTATTAAGTTGTTTTATATAAGAGGTGGTATGAGTGTGTATGCGAGCTACATGAGGAATGAAGCTAAACCCACAGCCAGACTTAATCCAAATATACTTTGCACAGTGGGAAATGTGTTCAATTCAGCGCTTTTAAGGCAGGTCTCTTCATAACTATAAATACCTTGGCATGATTCATCCTTCTCACTGTAAATACAAGCGTTAACCAAAGAAACAAGGTGCCTTTTGTGAGCTTCTCAGTGTAACTCTTATTATATTGATGTTTACAATTATTTTTTGGTAATGCAAAACCTCTTATTAGTTTTAATGATTTAAGAATTGCATGCTATGTTGCAATGTATTTTGCATTTGATCAGTGTGATTTTTTTTTTTTTTTTTTTCTCCTTCAAGAATTAAAACTGGACATGAACAAGAGTGTTGTCTGTTTC